ATTAGCACGCTGCAGTCCCACCTGCATGGCCACTCAGTGTGTTCTGGCATCTCTCATTCCAATTAGTTAAAAGTGAGGGGGGGATACCGTGTTGGTCCTGGTGGGCTTTGCACACCCTTGAAGTCTAACGTATAAGAGCTGTCCTCTCTCCAATTTGCCTCGCCCTTTTAGCTGTATCTTTTAAATTCAGCCTTTTTTACAGCAAATATTCCATTCTGATTCATGTAGATAACACACTCAAGGAAACCTTTCAAGATTATTTTTCACATCAGAAAACCAACATGTGATCGTGTGAGTACAGAGTAGAGGAATTGGCATCCCCATTTATTGTGTTCACTGATTCTTTTCTGGCTGAAATGTTGAGTGTGGTAAGCTGCTGGTTTTGAAAAAGTTTTTTTTCTCAGTTTTTTTTTCCTTTTAAAAATTGTGGTAGAAAAAACGCATAACATGAAATTTACCATCTTAACCATGTTTAGGTTCTCACAGTGTGAGAGTCCATCACAATAGTCCTCTTTTAAACTCTAAGCAGCAGATTTGAGTGAACGCTTCTTCTCCTTTGAACTTGGCCTTACGGAAACCAGCCTTGGTGTTGGTGGGTGTAAGCATGGGTGGCCTGTTGTTCGTGTTGGGATGTCTGCTGATAAGCTCCAGCCTCCATGAAGTTGCCCAGCGGAGAAGCCTGGGCGGGTGAGAACCTGGGGTGTAATAATATTTATTTGGGAAATTGTTCTGGCTGCCTATGGTAGCCTTTTTTTGTAACCATCACCAGTAGTAGAGCTGTACTCTTTAAGTCCCTTTAACCAAGTAATCATTTTTTGTCCAACTCTGTGTGAAACCTTCACAGAACCACAAGACCCTTTTGTGAGGTTTCTGAATGACTGAACTATAGCGGGTGTAGGAGGTGACTGTTCACAGGAGTTGATTGGCTTTGTTCTTTAGGGGAAATGGCTTTTATTAGCCCACATTCCCCCTTTCCTCTTGAATGCTCTCAGAAAGTTGGCCAGATACCCACCTGCAGTTGATCTTTACCACATTGGACTTAGTTTCTTGAAGCAGAATTGTTTGCAACTAGGACTGCATCATCCACCACACCAGTCATAAAGGGCCCCGCTTCCTCAGGCAGGACTTGTCCAAAACTCATCTCAGAGCTTGAAATTCAAACCAGGTGTTGCTGTTGTCCTTTAAGAACCAGATATGTTCTTGTCACATAAAATTGCTTCATTATAGTACACCATGGTGGGGGGTGATCTAAGGAGTGAGGGAAGTCCATGGCTGAGCCCATGGTGTGAGAAGCCCCCAGCCACAGGTCTGTTGTTTACCATCTTTAACTGGGTCTAGGCAAGGCAATGATATGACATGGTTTCTTTGGAAAACATAAAAATGAGATTTCCATCCCATGTGTAGTTGCTAAAGGTTCACATACCTGTGACCAGAGATGAGTTCAGAGCTTAACTCTTCTCAAAGGATGTAATGATTTGCCCTGAAAATGGTTGCTGTTAAGTCTTTCATACAAAAAACAGTTGTTTTTTTAAATTAGCAAACCTGATTTTTAAAGTGATGTTTTTCTCTTTAAATTTGTGAACATTGACACAAATCCAGAGACAGCTCTTCCTGAACTAGAAAACAACCATTTAATCCTGCCCTTAGTGGTGTGGCTCCTCTCTCTTCCTATGGGGAGAGCCAGTTGATTTATTGGGAGATAAGAGGGTTTTCTTTTTTTTTTTTTTTTTTTTTTATTAATGATAATTGTAGCACTGTTTGAAATATTTTTCTGGTATTGGATTTTCTTAAGTTCTCAAAAGCCTGTAAAAAGGAATTTTAACTAGTGTATGATTCTTTGGCAGAACAGGCTTGATTTGTATTTTTATGCTCTGTCAAGTACACAGATGTTTCCAATAGTTTTTGATTACTCTAAGGGGCTAAAACCTCAGTGCCAGAATTAAAGTCTAGCTGAATTCTCCTCCTGGGCAGCCCCTCTCTCCCCTTCCCACCCTTCCCCCACCCTCAGCCTAGCTTTGAGCAGTCTAGAAGATGAATAAGTCCCTGGAGAATGAGGCAGGCAAAGGGCAGGTGATGACATAGTGCACTTCCCAGGGCCTGGGAGTGGGGGCTGCTGGAGAAATGTCAGGAAAGCTGGTGGGGGCTTCTTCACATATGCATGGATTCGGTGGGGGGGGGGGGGACAGTGGCGTCATGGGAGAACTCCTGCAGGGCCCAGAGGCCTGGGAAGTGCAGGTCCAGGGGCCAGTGTCAAGCTGGACTCTGTGTCAGGGCCTGTTGACTGTCCTGTGTCCCCTGGAGAAGGAAGCATTCCTCCCCCTTGTTACAAGACTAACCATTCCATGAGTGAGGTTCTATCAGGAAAGTTATTTTCCAGGTTGGGCCTCGACTTTTGGTCTTTTAACATTATCATGTGTAAAATGTAGCATGGTTTTTCCACAGAGACATTTCTAAAATTTAGAATGGGATTAGACATATATAAAATTGTCTTTGTGGTCTAGCAAAGCTGATTTGCTTTGTCGATATTTGTGCTTCACTGTGGAAGAATTTTGTTTAATTTGCTCTTTGTGGTTGTCTAGGGCACATATGTTTCCTATTCTGAATATCCAAACTTTCCCTTAAAAGATAGGCTCTTAGGAGGGTGGTCAACAGCACAGAGCTTGACAGAGGCCTCCAGACAGTCCTCAGCATGGGCAGGCGGCCCCAGAGCATGATGGGATGCTGAGTCCCAGTTCTTGGGGCATGGATTTGTGCCCAGTGGGCTCTCTGAAACAGGATGTTTCCCAGAGTGAGGCCGGCCCTTCCCTCCTTTCCTCCTCTCACCACAGCAGACTGCAACCACCCAGTGGTAGCTCTTCTGTACTTATGGTCTATACAGATGTCCGTGTGCTAATGCCCTTTAAGTGACAATGGAATACTGGGCATATTGCAGTTTGAGCACAGGCAGAGTGACCTCCTGAAATCACAGAGGAAAAGTCAGGTTTCATTTCGGTTTTTCAAATGCAATGCCTTCATTTTTAGAGATAAAACATATTTTATCTGTTTTACTTCAACAAATAATTGAATACTAGCAGGATACAATTATTATACAAACTGTGTGCCTGCCCTTGTCGGCACTGGGGGCTCAGCAGCAACTATGACTGGCCCCACCTCTGTCCTCATGGTCCAGATATGGCAAGTTCACAGAAGGGTGGAGCAACCTGCTTGCTGTGATGAGGGCAGATGCACATGTATGACTCAAGACATGGCTTGTTTCAGAGTTGAGGTGCTTCAGGGGGCAGGTACAGGAGAGACTTCTCAGAGGGGACTGGGGACCTAGCATAGACCAACTGGGGAAGTGAGGGCACCAAGCAAGAGGGATAACATAGGCTACATGTAGGCAGACTCTCTCACAAGGCAGAAACAGGCATGGGAAGGTGGGTGGGTGGCGGGGACAAGATTATGGGAGCTTTGAGCCTTATGCTAAGGGATTTGTGTATAAGGCTTTTGAATAGGAGGATGACATGTTTGACTAGGAGGATCCACGTTTTGAAAAGGCCACCTGACAGGGAAGTTTAGATGACTTGGAAGGAAGACTTGAAGTCCATCAGGAAGGCTGCTCAGGAGGCCTCCACGAAGCCCAGTGGAGTGATTGGTGTGGTGGGAGAGGAAGTGTTGGGAGAACTGCCCCAACACCTGCTCAGCAGCATTTGGAGGGGAAAAGTGAGTTTTTTATTAAGCTTGGGTGAATTGAGGGTGATACCTTACCCAAAAGGCAACACCAGAAGTTACACAGATTGGGATGGGGGGGACATCATGAGTCACATTCTAGATTCTGCATTGGAGGACGAGGGAAACATCCCATTGCCCAGCAAGAACTAGAGGCCTGGGTCTGCCGCCTGGGATGCATGCCTGGGAGTAGCCAGTGTGAGTGTGTTGTTGAAGAGCCCTCGCAGGGACAGTGGAGAAACTGGAAAGACAGAGTCCAGAACTGTTCGGAGACAGGAAGCCGGTCACTAGATTCTTGAGTAGGAGAGACGTTAATGAGCATATGAGCCCTGTCCCCAAGGAGCTCACTGAGGGAGAGACTCCACAGTTCAGGCAATATAAAGCAGACAGTCGTGAAAAGGCCGAGCTCTTGTTTTACAAGCAGAGATTGTGGAGTATGTGCCCCTGTGGAATTTGTGGATGGGCTTCTAAGGACCAAGGATTGGTTGAGTTTCCATAGGCAGAAATGAGAGTGAGCATAGAGATATGAGGGAAACGAAAGGAGTTTCAGGTTGAAGAACAGCACAAGCAAACGTGGGTTGGCCAGAAAACCTACGGCATGCAGGAAGCAAGCCAGGGTCTGCAGACCCTGTGCCATGGCATTTCGAAGCCAGGAGCAGGGAGAGCTTGAAAGGACTACCCGAGGGCAGAAGCCATGGTAGCACACCATGGAGAAGGCTAGAGGCATGGGAGGGAGTTTCTAATGGGTTCTGAAGAGACAGAGTTGTGCTTTGTACCCCATTTCTGAGCCATGAGCCCACTGCTTTTCACCCCTGCTTTTGTGGTTGCTTCTTTCCTGATCCTAGTGGTGCCTGAAGACACCACATACTCCAAAGCACGGAATGCTCCAACACCAGGTCAAAACGGAAATTTGGAACAGAACTTTATCTCATTTTATTACCATATTTCACAATAATCCCCAAATAACCTTCAAGCACAGCACTACTTGAGGCAGGAGATAGAATACCTCAGATACAAAAAATGTGGAAGCTTATGAAAAATCACATTCAATTCTGACAGTGAAACCCTTAGAAAATCATAATCACACGTCTGAATGTGAAAAAGTGCACAGCTGTGTGCGTGACTCCAAATGGAAGTAAAGGGCTGGCACAGCCACAGAGCCCGCGCTCAGGGGGCTGGTGAGGCTTTCCCTGCAGAAGGGAAGGTGGCTTCCTGCTGAGCTTCCAGCCCCACCTGAAGGTCCCACGACTCGCGCTGGCTGACCTGTCCTCTTTTCCTCTGCCCCTCCTCAGCTCTCTGGTGGCTGTGAGCTGACAGTGGTGATCCACGACTTCACTGCCTGCAACAGCAACGAGCTAACGATCCGCCGCGGCCAGACTGTGGAGGTTTTGGAGCGGCCGCATGACAAGCCTGACTGGTGTCTGGTGCGAACCACTGACCGCTCCCCAGCGGCAGAAGGTCTGGTCCCTTGCGGCTCTCTGTGCATCGCCCACTCCAGAAGCAGCATGGAGATGGAAGGCATCTTCAACCACAAAGGTAGGAGTCAGTAGGGTGTAGGCGGCGAATGCCACTGGAAATGGCACTGGAGCCTTTGGTCTCCACGTCTTGGCTGCCTGTTCCTGTGTGTGGTCCTTCTTATCAACCGTGCCTCCCCTGCATTGTCACCAACTCACAGGGCGTCTCTAGTCCATCAGCAGCTGCAGTGGAAATGAGGATTTCACCTCTTACTCAGAAGTAACAAATGATCTCCTCACTTCCAAGGTGGTATAAGAAGATAGGACATCAGTTTAGAGAAGAAGTAGGGGGCTGTTCTTTTGGGCCAGTGTCATTCATAAATGGAGAAGAAAGAGAGGACCCTGCTGTCCTCCAGGTGATGCTGGACATAGGTGAGGGGAGAGCAGATGGAACTGAGTTCAGTGTCTCATCAGTCAGGTCTTCACATTGTGGACTGTTTTGTGAGTGATAAGTTCTAGAAAATCAGACATGCAGGCCCTGAGCATTTAACCACTCCAATCTTATAGCTGTGTAAACAAAAGTATCTCAGGATACCCCAGTTCCAAAGCTGCCTTCGTGGGGAGGGAATCAAATCAGACCCTGGGAGAGATTGGGCTCTGTGCCTGACATAACAGGCTCATGGACAGAACAGCAGCTGGCCTCCTTGGGTGACTCCTTCAGATACAGATGCCCAGAGCAGGACTGCTTTTGTGTGTATCTAGCTGGAACAATAACAGGTTCCTACAGCGGGACCAAGAGTCTCTATCCCGGACGTCCACCATGGTAGCCACTAGACAAATGTGGCTGATGGATGAACACTCGAGACGGGCTGGGCCAGTCTGAGAGGCTCTGCAGATACGAGGCAGAACTGAATTTTTAGTGTGAGAAAGAGTATGTAGTCATTTTGTAGCCATTCCTTATTGAAATGATCATGTATTTCAGAGTGTTAAAACAAGCTACTAAAATTAATTTACCCATTCTTGTTGCTTTTTAAAATACAGCTGCTATAAATTGTTTAATTCTGCATGCAACTTGTATTGTGTTTCTGTTGGACAGTGCTGGTTTCATTCGTCTCAGTGAAAAGCCAATTTGGGACTTTAAGTTCTTTTAAAAAACACTGGTCTGAACTTCCTTTTTTTTTTTTTGAGTTGAAGTCTCACTCTGTCACCCAGACTGGAGTGCAGTGGCATGCTCCTGGCCACCGCAGCCTCGACCTGCTGGGCTCCAGCGATCCTTCCGCCTCAGCCTTCCAAGTAGCTGGAATTACAGGCGTGTGCTACCACGCCTGGCTAATTTTTTATTTATTGTGGAGATGAGGTCTCGCCAAGTTGCCCAGGCGGGTCTCGAACCCACGGCTCAGGCAATCCATTCACCTAAGCCTCCCAAAGTGCAGGATTACAGGCTGAGCCACCAAGCCCAGCTTGGTCTGAACTTTCTAGGAAAGCACCAATTGGGTAAGAGTTTATAGGTTTTGAACCACACTGCACCACCATCTTCATTTTTCTGCAATACTGGCAAGCTGACAGTTTTTCCAGATTTGGGGGTATGCAGTTTGTTTTTCCTTCTGGAGAGAACATCATTATTCTGCCATATTCGGTTTCTTTTATTTTAAGTTGGAGCATTCCAGTTGCTTCTTCTCCCATGCATTCGCCATGACACTTTTTGCAGGCCACCCGGCGAGGGCTCATCATTCCGCTGAGCTAAGTGAAGCTGCACAGGATGCAGCCACTGATGAGTGTTTATCCGTAATTGCAGGCCTGACCCTGTTCCAGATCCCTTGGCCTACATAGAGTTTAGTGTCACATTGGTAAGAAACAGGAAGAATTAGGCTACTATTTCTCCAGGAATTTGAAGAGAGAGGCAAGAGAATTTTCAGATTTGGGCCAAAAACCAAAGGTGTCCACTGCCATTTCTTGCAAAACTGTGTGTGCGTGTGTGGAGCAGCGGTGGGCTTCCCCAACGTGGCACTGGAGTTTAGGTAGGGATCTGGGTTGGGCTGTCTTTGCACCTACTGCCAGAATGTCGCTAAAGTTGTATCATATAGGTAAGTCCTTGAGCGTGTGTTGAAAAGTTAAAAACAACTTTTTTCCTCAAGTTAGTCTAGAGGAACCCTGGTGAACTTGTGTGCTGCAAATGACGCTTGTTCTGAAAGATCTCTTCATGCTTATACCTTTCCTGTGGTGTGTTCCTAACTTCCTGGTGTTCACAATTGCGGGCTAGCCAAAGGGAGAGAACTAGGTAAGCATCACATGTGGTGTGACCTGAAAACTTCAGTGGAGGCTGGGTTTTTGCTTGTTGCTAAGTTGAACTTCCATTTTGGTTTCTTCTCTGGTATTCTTTGGCATTGTCCTGCCTGGAAAGGTTCTCCCTGCCCCTCACAAACCCTCCAATGAGGGTTGACCAAGAAGGTATTTTTTCAAGGAACAAGAACTATTGTGAACTAATGGCAGCCAGTGGCTAGGGGCTCAGAATTGTATCTTGTTTTTCCATTCTTTTTCTTGTACACACATGTTCCCCGCCCTCTCTTATATCCTGTATTGCAAGGAAACTTTTGGAAAACTCTCTAAGATTATGTGTTCCCTTATAGTGTTAGAACCAAGGCAGTGATGGACAGCACAGTAGTGGAGGGAAATCCACCCTTGGGTTTTTTGATGATCCTGTGACAGAAAATCCTATCCGTGTCCACGTCCAGGAAGTCAGGCAACTTGACCAGCATCTCTGCCTAGGAGACAGAGTCCATCATCGAAAAGTTGAGCAACAAGGGATGAGGATTTAGGAGGGGAGTTCAAAACCAGAGGGACTCAGGGAGCGAGAGGCCTATGCCACCTGGGAAGCAGGAGACCTTGGCTTTGCTTCTGCTCAGCCCACCTTCCCCCTTCCCCTTCTTCCTGCCCTCTGTGTGAAGAGGGGCACTGCCTTCACCCTTGGTGCAACCTCAACACATGCCGGCCTGCCGGTGCTCACATCCGCATGCATCCACCCATCCGCTAACTCCTTTTGAGCCCGTTTTCATTATTAGAACCATTCTGGACTTGAGGGATATGGTGGTAAGCAAGTTACACGTGCCTCTGTCTCTCACAAACTGTGACATGTGTCCTTCTTGTGACTGACTGGGACTCTTTTGGCAATATCAGATGAGCAAGCTGTCTTGCCTCTCCCACACTTCAAACTCATGGACATTACAGAACAGCCTTTATGTGTTTGTCCCTCCTCATTTGCTGTTAATCTTCAAGTTAGTTTCTTAAAGCTCTCCAATTCTTACTGCTCTGACCTTCCAGACAGTGAGAAGAAGCATATTCACTCATCTCTAGTGTCTAGATTTTCTCAGCCTTAGTGCCTCAGTGATTTTTTCATAACACCCTGGTCCAACTTATTCTTCCATAAATTTCCATAAGCTTCAAATGTAAAAAACACACCTATAAGGTCAAATGTCTGTTTATTTGCTTGTGAACAATAAACTATTTTAAGGATTGCAATAAGGTTATGAATACTCAGATCAGACAAAAAGGACCCAACATTCACCATAAGTGGTCCTCAGTTTGCCTAGTGGTTTCAAAGCTTTCCTAGACTTGGAAGTCTGTTGGACAATGAGAATACTTGAAATTCATGAGGACCAGTTTTCTTTTATGCAGTATATTTCCTTACAGTGATTAAGGGATAGGATAAAAATATAATTTATATAAAATGAACAAGAAATTTGGTGGCATGATTTATTTTTTTAAGGACATATTTTGTGACTGAAACTAGACTCACTGTGAACATTATTCCATTGAAAAATGCTTTTTATTTTGTGGCCATGCACCATGACTCGCGCCTATAATCTCAGCTGTTTGCTGCTCAGGAGGCCTAGGTGGGAGGAGGATTGCTTTTGAGCCCAGGAGTTTAAGACCAGCCTGAGTAACATAGTGAGGCCCTGTCTCTTAAAAAAAAAAAGCTCTCTATTATGTGGGAAAAGTTTGCTTTGGAAGACGGCAGTTCAGGCATTCTCTGTAGACAGCCAGTCTTGGTGTTTGATGGCTCCTTCCGGTCCTGCTCTGACTCACATTCCTCCTTTCTCACAGGATCTTAGTCATGAATTAAACAGACACTGAGTGTATGAAAATGGAATAAGGATTCAGCAAATCCTTGTGCTCAACCAGTCTTATTGTGTCTGTGGTTTATGCCGTCTGCCATTACCTCACACTCGCTGGGGCTGGGGCTGGGTGTGGAGATTTGTGATTGTGCCCCCATGGTCTCAGGTGCAATCGGCTGAGACCCACTGATCCCCCTTCTCCCTGGCACTCCCCTGCTCACGTCATCGCCTTTAATCTCTCAGTAAGTACGAATGGTTTTTGCCTCTCACTATCTTGTAAAACTTGTTACTTTTTCTGTTTATTAACTTAGTCTTGGTCACAGAAAATAGGCAAAAATACCAGAAATGTTTATATTTCCGTGGACTCTGATTCAAAATGTCCCCTCTGCCTTATACTACTCTTGCCTGAGCTGTTCCTTCGCCTTCTCTCCCCACCCAGAGCCGCCCTGTGCAGTGGTCCCTGAGGGTTCACTCCAGCGTAGGCCACCAGGAGAGCAGCACATGGAGCACCAGATGGGCATGGCTCCCAGAACTGGCCATGACCAGAATGGAAAATAGTCATGAAAAATAGAATTGTCTTTGTTGCTAACCTGGGCACATGAGTATCCCTTCCTTTCTGCAGGGTGCATGTATGGAGGCAGAGCATGAGCCTTTTTGCCCATTAGCTTGTTGAGGGTGAGGTTGGAATCAGTCCTTCATCTTGGGGAGGGCCTTGTATCCACTCACCGCTCATGACATCTGGACAAATGCTTTAGGACCTGTCTCTTGCACCACTGCCAACCAGAGTCTTGCGCCATGCAGAGTGGAATCTGAAAGGTCCCTCCCAGCCCCCATGGGATTGCTTTTTGCTAAAATGGGACTTTAAGAGAAAATCTTTTAGTAACAAGGGAGGCAGTAGTGGTAGAAGCTTTTGAAAGGAGGTGTTGAGTTTGCCAGGTGAGTTCTTCCTGTCAAGAGGCCTGAGGTGGGG